ACGAGATCACCTCCCATTGCATCAGGGCCATTGTTGCCGCTGGTGACATCATGATAGCCACGCCTTCGGTGTGCGTGTGGTTATCTTCTGGGTGACCGGAGTAGATCACTGACTCTCAACCGTTGACACTTTGGTGAATCCATTCCCGTTCCATCTGCTTTCACATATCCCCAGTACTTGAATTCCGTATCGTTTCATTCCGTTTGCGGTCTGGACAGCTTTGACAATCTCATACATAGTGCGGACGTTCCATGTCCCCACACAGACTTTTTCTTTTGGCGCAAGGAGATTCATCGTGCTGAAGTTTCTGTAGCAACTTTGTTTACAGGGTGGGGTTGCTAGTCTGAGAAAGGGATTGTTACATTAAGATATAGTTTAGAGAGAAGCGACCTTGTGGGTTGCTCCCCTTAAAACCGGAAAACAAGGAATAAAACAATCAGAACAACACCAGCAAAAGGAAAATAATTCACAGCAAAAAGGGCAACAAGCGACAACAACAATACAATACAACAATATACCATACAGTTAAGCACAGTTAACTAAAATGATACCAAAATCATAGACTCACTCACTTGAGCCAACCTGAACATGTAAATCCAACAACATATACAATTATTGATATGTGTCAGTGTTAAAAGGTCACAAAATTTCAAACAGTTAGTTATAGGTATTAGTAGTCAACATGATTATATCCACAGGTTTAGTGTTCGAAAGTAAACAAATTGCAATAATTTCCAAAACTTCGTGGTCAGAAACACCAGAGAAATGAGAGTTTTTTGTAACCAAGCAGTTGTAACGCACTAATCGAAAAGTGCAAGGCAAGTCAGTGCTACTCTACGGATCGGAGACTTGGCACATCATAAATTGGACATACGGTGAAGAGGTCGTTGAGCGACATTACGAACCAGGCATCATCTCAGGGGGAGTTGGAAGTGGGTCCGTGGGCTACTTAGTGGAGATCATGTGAAAAGGAGGTGAAAGCTCATAAACCATCGTGAAGCCAGCCAACAAAGACTGCAAACAACAGAGTGAAATGGCGATGTGCTTCTAAAGGCGTATATTCCCCTCGGTATCCGAGGAATTCATAATAATAATAATAATAATATTTAATTGAATTTTTTAGAATTTCCCGTCGATTGATTGGGTCGAAGTGCTTGCTCTCAGGTTGATATGTCGGCTTCTTGTGCAAATGCTTCGACGATGTGTGGGCATGTAATCTGAGGTTAATTTATGGATGGTGACAAGCAGTGGAATCCAGGATAACGCGCATTCGGTCTTATTTGGGACTCGTCATCTGGATGTACCTGCATGCTCCAGTGAGTGATAATGTTTCCACTGAGGCTGAATTAAATAATCAATATGACCCGTTGCACAAGAGGTGGCCGGCTCTCATGGCCCAAGTGGCCTAGTGGATAAAGCTTTGGAGTTTGAAATTATGGGCACTGAGTTCGAGCCTCAGTGGTGGAAACATCATCACTCACTGGGAAATGACGGCACATCCAGATGACGAGTCCCGAATAGGACGAAATGCGCTTTATCCTGGATTCCACTGCTAGTCACCATCCACCAATTAAATAATAATAATAAATATCAAACAATTAAAGTCAAACGAAGTTGTAGCAATAATGCTACATTGGCTGTGCTAAGGCAAGTGAGCTCATGCACTGATTTTCAATACAGGAGTTTGGCTCAAGGTCCCGTAGTAGCCAGTATAATTCGGCTATGCATAAATTGAGTATTCAAAGTCCTCTTTTGAGATATTGGTGGATTCTGTGAAACAGTCACACAGAGATGCTTGATATCCAGAGCTAACAAGATGTTCACGAATTGAACTGTTGATGATGGATAGTGTTCCAAAAGATTCTCGCCTTCTAGAATATTCGTCATATTACATAAACCATTTTATAGGACATGATTATCAGTATCCGAATAGTTTTATGATTGCTCCATTGGATTAAAATATGGTTGTACTGTCTTCTTTTTTTGAAAATGATTTATTGGAAAGATTAGTCTCTTCGTCGTTACATCTTTTTTTTTTTCAATAGTTGGTTTGTAAGGGTTAGATTTGTTTCCTTTTTGAGTTTGGTCACGGATTGATATCAGTTAGAGAACCATTGAAAACCAGCACTGGAGTGCTGGACAGCTGTTTCGTCGTAGTTTGGGAATCATCCACAGTATACATCCACCATCAAGGTTCAAACCCAGGACAGCTAGCTGGTTCGCATACCATTCAGCCACTGAGACCCGATTCCATGGCCAGTGCATGAATTCTAACTTCTACCAATTAGTGATTTAACGTGACTGGCATCAACCAATGTTGTCGGTGAGACATTCATCCTCAAACTCGACTGGATGGACCTAACTGGTCACGATTTCTCACTAGAACTCACTCCAGGAAAGTCCATCCTGTAGCAAGTCACTAGCAAGCATCATATTAATTTTCAGTCCGTTATCAACTCGTCAAAAACATCTTTTTTCAAAAGAATGGATACTAAACAAAGAGTACTCTTTTCGATAAATTCATCATCGGGCTCTAGAGTTATATATACATAATAGTGAATGAATGAGTTAGTGTTGTGAACAACATTAATGCTGTTTAAATCACATCGAATCAATAATATTGATAGATTACAGCTGAATAGCATCAACATAAACTAAGCTGAATATCAGAAGAATTAGGAAGGATAATATTACAAATTCATGAGTTTATAGTTTCTACTGAAGGCCAGGGCAATAGTAGGGGCTGGCTGGACTTGCTTCTTTTGAACACAGAGAACTGGTTGTTTGAGGCGAATTGCAATATAGCCACCTCTGGTGTTTGGAGCATGCGGTGCTTCGATGATGATTTTGGTAATTTATTTGGCACCCGGTAGATGATGATATAGAAGGATTCTTCAACGCTGGCTGGCTTTGTGGCCAGCCGGTTTGCACCAGATGGTCCAGCATGGAGCTGTTAATGGTTTTCACTACACCTTTACTTAGCCATGCTGGGAGATGTTCTCGAGCACGAACAATCAAGTTCCTAGAGCAACGACCAATATAATTGGCTCCACAAGCGCAGTTGAATTGATAGATACAATTTGAAGTGGCTAGCTAGTCTAGGTACTTCATCTTTCAGTCGAGGTAGTACCATCGGTCGTGTAGAGAATAAGACGTGTAGTTCGCCGCCAGCATTAAAAGTTCTTTGAACTGATTTTCTTAATTTCTTCGCAATTATTTGCTATTGAATATTGAAAGCTTTTTCCATCTTGCTTTGACACACATCTATCAGTCCTTTTTTAAACTTTTGTGAATGATAATAGTACTTTGTCAGAAAGTATTAGGATTGCATTATACATTTAAAAGTCATTTAAAAATTAGATTTTGAAATAATGGAGAAGATTTGTAGATTGGCGTTAAAGAATACACGGAATATACCACCAAGAGCGGGATTCATTAACCCAAAGAAAAACGGATTTTCAGTTCTTGACACTTTCAATTGCTTATACACCAATTTGATTATGTTTGTGGTAGTATGAAAAAGCGATTGTCAACTTGGATGATTGGGAATTCGCCCAATTGGTTGAGAAAGACTGAAGTTAAGATACCGAAAACTTCGCTAAAATAAGGATCTCTTAGACTACGGACGTCATATTGACGCTGTCACATCATTCATTGTAGTCAGCAGACAAGCAAACACAAAAATTTCAATTGTCACATATTCATTACGAACCAACATCAGCTGGAGAACGCTGGTTGACTGCTTCTTCTTATTTTGGGATACTTCAACAGTGTACAGCCACAACCCCACCAGAGGTCAGACATTGGACTTCCGGGTTATGAGACCAAACTCATTGGCTATTCACAGTCACTTGAGCTGGAATTCAATGACCCCTGAATTCTAACTTCTGTCAACTCGTGATGTGTAGTGCTGTCCTTACCAATGCCTTACTGATGAGCATCCAGTTCACGCTGGCCTTGTGAACTCTACTGGTTATGACTTTGCATATTACAGCTACGGGGGAATCCCCTCCAGACGATTAACATTCAGCCTATGAGATCTGTGGGATTTTGTATCAATTTTCAATCGTTACATATTCTTCAGTAATGGTTGACCAGTTTAGTGTATCTTATCCTGAGGATACCAAGTTCGACTTTTGTCGAGTTCGTGAGTGCGTATTGCCGGAGATTCCTGAAATGGAATGAAGTAGCTATTCATGTGTTCCCTAGTCTTCAATCATATCTCTCTAACTGATGTGTGGTTCGTGAAAAATTTGTAACAATTGAAATTAGTCCAAAATCTGCACAAATCGCATAGCCTGGAACAGAAAGATGACTGCGGTCTTTGCGTACAAAAGGAAATGGTGGTCGCCTTAATTTTACCATGGTAATTGCTATTCAGTTTGCGATTCTTGAAAATTTCAAATCCTTCCGCTGAAAACTAATTGCTTATTGTGACGACACGACTGAATCGTGATCCATCATAATCTTGATTTCAATCTGATATATACCCCATCTTCCTTATCTCTCTGAACTTGACCTGTAAAACATTCGCACCTGTTATGTTGTATAATTGATTTATTGTGTATTTCTAATTATATACATACTACTGTATGTAGAGTATCCAGCTGAAGAGTTCTACTGAAGTTCGACGAATTCATTAAGTCTTTTTATGTAAATATTTGTTGTTTGCTCTAAATTCGGAAAGAGATATTTCCAATCTCATTGTTCTTCTGGACAAAAATCTTCAAAACATCTAGGTTAGCATTGAAGATGTTGTCTAGGGAGGACAATGAAAGCTTCATCATAAAACCAACCAACCAACCAACCAACCAACCAACCAACCAACCAACCAACCAACCAACCAACCAACCAACCAACCAACCATCCAGCTCAGGGGACAGAACAACACCAGAAATTAGATATTTTCTTTTGTTACTTTATCGGAGTGAAGTCGAATATTGCACAAATTATTTGTTCTCTAACTCTTCTCTTCATTTCAAAAAATTTATCCTGAACAGCATTTGGTTCTGTAAAACAAAATCTCTTCCCAACACCACCACCACCACCACAATTGGATGCATCGTTACCAATTGACGGACTACTGAACACACCATTGATATCGTTAGTAAATCAAAGTGATCAACCATCTGATCGTCTTGTTCCTGGTTATCGATCAGTTAGACACCTTCTACCATTAGAGGCGAGTGATTTCGCTTCAACATTCACTTCAACACAATCAGATAATGGTGTTCCCTATGAAAATGAGTCATATGCGATCAATGAGAATTATGATGAAGTGAAACAACGTAAACGAAGAAATGCTGAAACACCTTTTTATACAGTTGGTGTTGGTACAGTCTTTGATGCAGATAGGTATTTTGAAGTAAGCTATATTCCTATTATTACACTAATTAACTTATCTATTCTCTGTTTTCCAAGTGGAAGGTAAAGCCTCAGCGATACACCTTCACAGCGATCGATTCGCTGCTGTCGCTCATGGCAGGCACGCCTCACATGATCTTCTTCATATCCCCCTCAGACATCACACTTGTCGCTTCCCACTCGGGATCTGCTCGAGTGCTTGGCATGTGATGTTACCTGAAAGTTTCCTTGACGTAGGTGGCGTAGTCATTGGAATTTAAACCTCTGAGTCACAGGATTGAATCCTGGTTTACTTGAAGAGGTTTGGGAGACTGAATAGTTACCTGTTGTGGTAAGAGCTGGCTGCAAACAAGCCAAAATTGTAAACAACAATTTACGTCTATGTTTACGTCCCGAATCGGGGTCATGAGAAAAAAAAATAACAAGGACAAAGCTTAACCTTGAGGAACTCAAAAACCAATCACAGCAGACATAGTGTGAGCAAATACGATTCGCAGATATGTATAGATAACTTTGTAAGTAAAGGTCACAAGCAGTACAGAATAACCTTCAGCAAGAAAAAAACCAAATCAAAGGAGGTTGCTTCTCTGTTAACATTAACACTAATAATAATGTACATAAAAATCTATAAATATCTGTTGATTTTCTCAATAAACGATCTGTTGCCTGGCACCCCTGTCTTCTGTCGTTACTCCGTTAGTCCTCACACAATAGGTGGGTACCATCGCTAACTTCATGAACATGAAAGTGGTCGTTGCTGAGTAACATCTTATAACTGATACAGATTCACAAGGTTGAAGTATTAGGTGCAGGCTTCGAAAAGCCGTCTTGGCTCTTTTGAGAGCGGAAATGCTATAACCTTCTCTGTGACATAGTTTACTTTATTTTTTCAGAGTTTGATGAATTAGTTGCTCTACGGGTCATTTAATCTGTATGAATTTGATTGGTTTCGACATGGATCTAGCATCTAACTAATATGAATCTATAAATAAACTGCATAAGGAATCAAGGACTTTCCGTGTTTATATTACTATTGTAACAACAGAAGACAAGGGGCGGGCAACAGATCCCTTATTAAGGAAATCAACACGTATTTATATATTTTCATGTACATTATTATAGCTTATTCAAGCAAACAAACACAGTCTTCTGATTGGTTGTTTCTCACAGACAGTTGACCTTGCATTTCTTTGTGACTGTTTCTTGAATGTCAAATCATCTATATGTTAACTGTATGTGCCTACGCAAGGCCTTTGTTTTTATTTTTCTCACGACCAATATTGGGGACATAAACACTGACGTAAATTAATGTCTACCACCTTTGGCTAGCAGCGGGCTCTCACCACACTATCATTACTAAAAAGCACACTACTCAATGTGGGATATAGCCTAGGACCGTATTGGCCGGAAGTAATTTTTACTGCGACAAAATACAGTGTACATTAAGGCATTAATCGATATACCACTTCATCTACTTATGTGTAACAAATGTCACACTCATCCTCCCTATCACAAAGTCATTCCCGCAGCCGTATTGATCATCTCACTGTGGTTCTATTTGTCTGTCCCTTGGCCTTCTTTTCTCGACTTCTTTGTATTCACATTTTTATAACAGACTCTAGCAGTCTCCTTATTCTGCTCCTGTCCAGGTTTTTCACTGTTTGACTTTCGTTTTTGTTGTACATTCCGGATAGCTTGTCTTTGTTCACATGTCCACATTATTATGTTCCAAAGTTTTTATTGTGGCTAAGTTTTCCAGTTCTTCGTCACTCAGCATCAACAACAAAATTCGGATCTTCGTTACAAACGTCAAGTCAGTTCTTCTATACTGATCAGACAGAAACATGGCGGGCGGGTCACAAAGAATATTTCCAACAGCCAGTTCCAGACCTTCATCAACAACTGTCTTCGCTCAATACTGCAGATCAATAAGATGGCCGGAAAGAATCACCAACAAGAAACTACGGGAACAAACAAAACAAGAACCAGTCACCAACCAACAAATATGCGGGAGAAAGTGGAGATGGATTGGACACTGGCTGAGGAGGCCGCTGGGTGGTATCGCGCGTCAGGCTATTGCTCAAATGGAACCCGAAAGGGAAGAAGCGAGTGGGACGTCAGTACAAGGGTGACATGGAGGAGACTGTGTGAAGAGGAGTTGAAAGAATGTGGACAAACATGGATGCAGGTGAAGCCCCATGTTCCACTAGGAACCCAAGGGAACTGTGCGTCGGTGGCACAGTGGTTAGGACTCTCGCCCTCCGTGCACATGGTCCGAGGTTCGATCCCCTGCCGAAGCACACCTGATATCTATGGTCGGCCTGCAAAATTCGGACTACCGATATCACATGCTGAAAATTCCATACTGGTATCAAAAATACAGTATGGAATCAAGGTGTAAACAAAAATAAATAAAATAAAAATAATAAAATAAAATAATAATAAGTTTTTCAGTGCACTGGAGTCCATGGTTTCCTCCCGTTTATCAGCCGGAACAACGCTTTCTTTGTTGTTTCTTAGGTCGGGGATCAATACATCAGAAGTACCAACATCAGGTCAGCTTCGCAATCACCTCCTTCTTTTGTCAGCCACTGTTTGAGTTTACTATTGCTGCCTAATACCAACTCAGTGTATACACCCTGACGGTGATTTGCCCACCTTAGTGACCATCTGACAATGCTGACTGATAGAATTCAGTCATCTCCAATAGAAAGTACCAAAAACATGGCATTGGTTGCCCTCTCTATCTAGCGAGACAAATAAGGTCTATTCATCGTTAGTAACCGTCTTTCCGAAGGTACAGCTAATATATAATACAGATCATAGATAAGTAAAAAAATCGATTATTGTGATCGTGTTTTTAGGTTGCACAAAACAAAATTCTTCTTTTTATTTTTTTATTTTCAAGGTTCAACGTTTAATTGCACATGTACGTAAAGTGACGAGTAAAAATTGTCAACAAATGACTCCAGATCAATTAATTCTACCTGGGGAAGTTAGTTATGGTGTGGAGAAACAATTTGAAATGGTTGGTCGGACAGCACTACGTCTATCCCACTTTCTTAGTGCTTATTATCAAAATAATGTTATCGGCGAATTGTACGGTAGTTTAAAGGTAGGTTTTTACATAAGTGAACTATGGATTTATTTGGATTCTGTCCTATGAAATAAATGATACAGAAAATTTATGAGAACCAAGTGTGATGTGTGTGTGTGTTTGCACCTTTAAAGTTGCCTATATTTCAAGTTTCATTACGGATTGATGTGATTTAGCGAACAACTGAAAACCAGCGAGTACCGGACAGTTGTGTCGTCCCACTATGGGACTCGTTGGCAGTACGCATCTATGGGTTGACGAACCCAGAACCTTCTGGTTACAAGGCAAGCTAGTTGGCCATTCAGCCACTTTGGCGGGAATCCAGTAGGCTATCAATTTCAATTTCTGTTAATTCTCGATCTTAGGGCTATCTGAAGGTCCTGAGTTCGATCGCTGATGAGTACCAAAAAGGAAGAAACAACCCTTTGGTAATCCCTGGTTTTTACTATTTCTATAAGTGAACGTAATCCGTAACCAAACGTGAAACAAATCAAATCGCTACAAAATAACTCTTGGAAATTGAATCGGTGTTCGGTAGTGTTTACAGTCATGAACTGTGACCTGACTGAACGACCCGCCAAATGACCTCGAAGGTCCTTCTAGAATAGTTACATGATAAGATGACACTATTGATTGGAAAATATACACTTAAGATGAATTAAAGAACAAAAATTAATTTAATCAGGGTAAAAGCCTTTTAAATGTTGGAACACTAAATCTAATACAAATTCCTAAACTCTTACGTAATGTTAACCTTGACGTTAAGACTATTAATAGCCCTAACCTGATACTATTTCTACTCGAAATAAATTCATCTCCAAACCTATCTGAAAATTCACGAATAATCCCCATCCAGACATTAATGGAAACAAAACACGCAGTTCACCGAAAAGTCTCTTTTCGGTGGCGAATTCATTCACTTAGCTATATAGTCGAAATTATATATATATGCATATATAAGGGGGGGGGGGGCACTTTACGTTGACCACCAAGAAATCCGGTCGAACTAGAAACGCTTGAAAAATCATCAGCCGTAGCTCGTCTACACGCTATAGAATCTGGCCACAAAATTGACTTTAACAATATTGAAATCATCATTCAGAAAAACTTCAGTAATCACAAAGAACGTCTAATATCATCAGAAGCACTTCATATCAAATGGAATCCCAATTGGTTACAGGATTTCATCGTGAGCTGACATTAGTTAGATAACCATTGGAAAACCTAGGAGTACTGGACAGCTGTTTCGTCAGCTTAGTTTGGGACTCTTCATCAGTACGCACCCACCGCCAGAGTTCGAACCCAGGACCTTCTGGTTATAAGTCGAGTTCGTATACCATTAAGCCACTGGGACCCGATCCAATGGCCCATGAATTCTAACTTCTGCCAATTCACGACACAAACCAATACTGGAATCCCAATTGTTTGAACTGAATAGTAATGATGGACTAAAACAGAATCTGACCCGGTTACAACACTCCCCTCTCCCATGAAGTGACAAAATCAATACGAATGTGATAAGCGATTTCACTATGTAAAAACACATTGTTTTATGATTTTACACTCTTATCGAATCCAACAACCTACACTTGGTTTTGTTATCTTTACGAGTTGGTCAACTTGACAACTCAAAAATGACCCCGTGCTGAGGAACAATGATCAAGTTAGTAAAATTTATTCTGATATCATAACAGATGTACTATTACCTTTGTTATTTGGTTTAGTGATTGATCATTGTTATTTTGACTTTTACTATGTCCTTTTAACTTGATCTAAGTCTATTTTCTCACCTCTTAACTCTTTGTTATATGTATGCTGAGATTTTGTGAATTCCGGTTTAATAATACTTTGATAAAGCTATTAGCAGCGGCAGTGAATGGCGAAACGTCAGTAAGAGCAAGAATATCGTTTTGTTTTTCATTCATTGGGAAATACAGAAAACCTTTATTATTATGGATATCCTTATTGTTACTGTCATATGCCCAACCCATAGCTTCCTGTTATGGTTTCACTAGACCTCCTGGTGTGTCCAATTCATCTCTATGTCCCCCCATATGTTTGTTAGGTAGTAGGTTCTTGTCGTGTTCGCTCACCACCAGAATTCCTTGTTGCTTTTCCTTCTTGGTCAGTCATTCATCTTATCTTCAGTATTGAACTAGTAAATAGAGCAGCTCTTGGTGAAAGTCTACAGTTGGTTGTTGAGAATGCTGTTACTGACTCAAATGTTAAGTCTCTGATCCATATGGAAACACTCACTTGGTGTTAGTGTTAAGTATGTGGGTCTTGTTGACTGAGTTGAGTGTTTTAGATCTTCACACTGATTTCAGACCAATGATTGCCTGTTTTGCTCAGCCAATCCAGTCCTAGCTCATCCTTGCGATGTGTAGCTGAGACGCCGTTACCCAAGTAAGTAAATTATATTGATTAGGCATGTGTCAAATTCATACCTATTGCTATTACCTCTCCTTTTTTGAAAACTATGGAAAGTTGCTCTTACTTAGCCTTGAACCTTCACTTAAAGAATTTAACGACTCCAAACAACTTGCCTATAAACATAGTGGAAGCAGTTTAGATGCAGCTATCGTCTTGCATCATAGCATAGTCTCTAGTCTAGACAAAAGAGCTAAATTTGTTTGTTGCGCCTTCCTAGATTACACATCTGCTTTTGACTCAGTACCTAGGGATATTTTGTTAAGTAAGCTTGATGCAACTCAAATTGAGTGTTGAGTTGTTAACTGACTGCATACCTATTTCCTAGGAAGAAGGTAGTACACTTTATGAAGGAGAAGTCATCCACTTCATTGCCTACCGAGGCCGCCGTCCCTCAAGGCACTGCTATTTGTCCTTTTCTATTTTCTTTCTTCTTGCATGACTTGTCTCACTCTGATGAAATGAAGTTTGTTAAGTATGTAGATGATCTAACTGTTTAAATGTCTGTTAACTCCTAGCTATACTGTACTAAGATGAACAGCTTTCTATCAGGAGTCAGCAAATAGTCTTTGTCTAATGGTCGTAAACCAAATCCTTTCAAAATGTTAGACTGTTGATTTCAATTTTCGATGCAAAAGAAAGTTAAATGAAGCTGTTTATTCCCATGACTGTTGCAAAATTGAAGATATATATATATATATATATATATATATATATATATATATAAGTCACATGTGACGTTAAGTATCTTGAACCATTTCTTTCTTCTTATCTGTCGTGGTCTTCTCACGTCTTAGTGATTTCTCAAAATCATATTTCGTCTGGCATTTTACATCAGGAAGTTAAGGCACTCGGACATAAGCCAACCCATCCTCTTACAGTATGTCAATTCGTGCATTTTACCTATTCTTCTCTACTATTCATCCTTATTCTTCCCTAGATTGCTTAAAAAAGACTGTGCCATACTTCGTAGAACTCTGAGGACTGTCAGTAGAGAGAATATTAGTATCACACTAGGCAACATCGTTGACATTGTCATTGATGGGCACCTGATATCATGCAAGAAATTTGCTAAAGGAATTTTGTTAGACAGTGAGCATCCACCACCCCACCCGCAGCTTTCACCTTGTGTCTCCTCAGATGAAACAAGAAGTCATTTCACTCTGCCACATCTTAGTGTATAAAAATTCCATAATACTATATTTGGCATGCATTTTATGCGATGACAGCAGTGTCAGGCACCGACTAACTAAACTCACCTTCTTTCCACTAGTAAATAAACAATTTCCTCCATCCTTATCTCATCAAGTTTCACTGTTATTATTCCTACTATATTTATGGTGACCTTGTTTGTTTTATTCTTCATAATTGTAAACATCATTTAAGCTCTGTAATAATCGTTATTTCTTTTTGTTTATCCCCTCACTATGCCATGTCAAAAGGACATTAGATTCAATCTTCTTTTAACAGGCTAAAATTATCATACCTGTATCAACAATATTGTTTGAAACGAAACAACTGTTATTATTAATATTATAGTTGTATTTCTTATTTGGTACTTTGCATATTTTTGAAATTATTCCTCCTGTTAATGCGGAAACGTTCCTTGTGTTAATTTCATTTATAACTGATTAAAAATGCCCATTTAAAAATTCCCCCAAAATGGTTTCCCGAACACAGAATACTCTTTTCGATAGCCCCTTCATCATCAGGTTCTGTAGTTATATATACATTATAGTGAATGAATGAATTAGTGTTATGAACAACATTAATGTTGTTTAAATAACATCCAATCAATACGAATACCAATAGATTACAATTCGATACCATCAACATAACAATACACTGAATATCAGAAAAATTAGGAAAGATAACAATAATACAAATTCATGAATTTATAGTCTCCACTGAAGGCCGGCCAGGGCAGGAGTAGTGGTAGTAATAGTGGCTAGAATTGCTTCTTTCACACACAAATCACTGGTTGTTTGTTTCACGCGAATCAGTATAGCCTCTGGTGTTTGGATCATGCAGTACCTGGATGCTTCTGAAAATTTATTTGGCACCTGGTGCATGATAGAGACGGATTCTTCAATGTTAGCCTGCTCTGTGTCCGGTTTGGATCAGATGGTCTAATATCGAACTATTGATGATTTTTACTACACGTTAACATAGCCATACTAGGAGATGTTCCCGAGAGAGCACAAAAAATCAAGTTCCTAGAGCAACGGCCAATATAACTCGCTCCACTACAATCGCAGTTGAATTGAATTGGTAGATACAATTAGAAGTGGCTAGCTGGTCTAGGTACTTCATCTTTCAGTTGAGGAATCACCATCGATCGTGTTTCCTAACCCTCCTTCGTTTCATTAACTTCAGGTGATTAAGCTGTTTCGAGAGTATCTTAACCTGAAGCCATGAATTTCTGGGAAAAATGACTACATCTTGTCTGTTTGAAGCAAAAGAGCAAAAGATGAAAATGAAGTGAGACCCTTTATGATGATGATTAAGTGACTCATCACCCAAACGAAATTATAATAATAATAGTCTACTTTATTCCAAAAACAGTACTTATAATACAGCGTGGAATCTTCAGTATTTATCCCAATATCGCGTCTAATTTAATTAATATAAATAAAATTTTCAAAAGAATAGTTACTGAACAAAGAATACGCTTTTCGATAACCCCTTCATCATCAGGTTCTACAGTTATTCGTGTACATTATAGTGAATGAATTACAGACAAGTGGACGGGGTAACGTTAGCCTCCCCATTGGGTCCCATGTTGGTAGATTTTTCTCTAAGTAGGCTAGAAAATGGACCTTTGAACTATCTTTTCAGAAAATTCTCATTTTATTGCCGGTATATAGATAACGCCTTTATTCTTTGTGATGATGATTCGGAAAGGAACACAATAATAATTGAATTAATTCAATGAAGTACACTCCTCTATCAATTTGAAGTGTAAAGAGGAGTCCCAAAACAGAAATGCCCTCCTGGATGTCCTCCTTACAAGGAAACCAGACATTTGCATAGAGAAGGTACATGAACAGGACAATATGCACATTTTCACAGCTTCGTTTCTCTCCAGTACAAAAGAAATTTAGCAAAGACCTTCAACTACAGAGTTAGAGCTATGTACGCAGGAGTAACTGAAGATGAATTAAACATTGTATATGATGCCTTGGTTGAAAATAGCTATCCAGACAAATTTATCAAGAAACACATAGGAAAGAAAGCGGTAATGGACTACTCACCTCTATCTGCAAATAAGAAGCCACTTTATATATGACTATATATATGACTGTAATTCAAGGGCAATATACTAACTGAGATAATTTCGGGGAAATTAAGAAAATCAGTTCAAAGATATTTTAATGCTGGCGAATTACACGTATTATTCTCTACACGATCGATGGCGATTCCTCAACTGAAAGATGAAGTACCTAGACCAGCTAGCCACTTCTAATTGTATCTACCAATCCAACTCAACTGCGATTGTAGTGGAGCAAGTTATATTAGCCGTTGCTCTAGGAACTTGATTTTTTGTGCTTTCTCGGGAACATCTCCGAGTATGGCTATGTTAACGTGTAGTAAAAATCATCAACAGTTCGATATTAGACCATCTGATCCAAACCGGACACAGAGCAGGCTAACATTGAAGAATCCGTCTCTATCATGCATCGGGAGCCAAATAAGTTGTCAAAAACATCCAGCCAGAAACCGCATGCTGCAAACAGCAGGGGCTATACTGATTCGCGTGAAACAAACAATCAGTGATTTGTGTGTGAAAGAAGCAATTCTAGCCACTATTACTGCCACTACTCCTGCCTTGGCCGGCCTTCAGTGGAGACTATAAATTCATGAATTTGTATTATTGTTATCTTTCCTAATTTTTCTGATATTCAGTGTATTGTTATGTTGATGGTATCGAATTGTAATCTATTGGTATTCGTATTGATTCGATGTTATTTAAAGAACAATAATGTTGTTAATAAAACTAATTTTGTCACTGTTATATATACACATGCGTCGGTGGTATAGCGGTTAGCACGCTCGCCGACGATGCATATGGTCCGGGGTGCGATCCCCGGCCGGCGCACTCCTTTACCTCACTGAGCCAGAGATAATCCTGGTAAAGAGGAAAGGTTGGGCATGAGGCAGCTAGCGACCCCATCCTGTGAAAATTAAACACTGCTACAGAAACTTCAAGCCACTAGCTTGGAGCCCTATGCTCCACTGGGAACGTGAAGGAAAAAGTATTATTTATTTATTATTATTATATATACACATAACTGTAGAACCTGATGATGAAGGAGTTGTCAAAAAGAGTATTCTTTGTTCAGTATCCATTTTTCTGAAAATTTGTAAATATCCCAAAGTCTTAGAATGATAAATAATAAATAAATAAATCTGTATACAGGAGAACAATTCAGTTTGACTATGAATTTTAAATAGTACATTGTTCTACTGAACACTAGGTGGCAAGTAACTGGTGTCCTACAGGAGGTCAGTTGTACTCCCAAATAGCTTAGTGATAACATCGTTGGCTGCAGCACTGTGTGTGACACAGGTATGAACCTCAAAAGGAATATGAGTTTCATCAAGATTACAGATAACAAACACGAAACCCAGGCTGAAGGTTTTCAGCAGCTGATCACTCCAGCCACCTAATATCGGATTATTCCCTCTTCAAGGATCTTAAGGACCGTCAGTTCCGATGCTAATTAGTCCACAGTTTTTTTTTGTGAATGAGTCAGACTGATATAAAGTGGTGCGACTCAGTAAGTAATTGAGTGTAGACTTGTTTCTGCTGCAGAATGAGCCATGTAGGATATTTGCGACGATTTATGAAATTTTCTGGTTTCCAAGGCAAGTTTAGAGTAGAGAAGGCTATCAACCGGGTCCGTCTCCTATGAAAGTCTGACTCCTAATCACAGTGATTGACTGAATGAGACGATGTGATTGTTTTTCTCCTGTCAGCTATTAATCCTCTCCCAACTACATTTTGCTCTAACTAATTTTTGTTATTGTGATGACAGATGATTCAGCTCGCATAACATGGAAGAACCACTTATTCCTGTGCGTAGGTGGCACAGCGGTTAGGACGCTCGCCAACCATGGTCCGGGGTTCGATCCTCGGCCACCAACGCACTCCTCCTTTACTCCGCTAATCCGGAAATAAAAACTGGTAAAGAGGAAGGGTTGGGGCATGAGGCGGCTGGCAACCCCATTCTGGAAAAATAAACACCACTGCTACGGAAACTTCAAGCCTCTAGCTTGAAGGCGCCTTATGTTCCAGCACTGGGAACGTGAAGGAATAAAATAAACAAAAAAGTTGCAAGTATAATTACGCCTAAATACTTTTCACCAACAAAATCTCTTTTCATGTTCTCTCCACTTTACAGACTGGTTTTCCAATTAATCGTTATCAGCTGTTTGGTGAAGTGATTGCCAATGTCTTATCAAATTTTGATATTGTCTCAAGTGGAATATTTTTCGATTATCAAATGTTCACAGATCATGAAGGTGTTACTTGGGATTTATTTGCCCCATACGCCTATAAACCAGTTCATGCAACTCAAGCAGCTGAAGCAATTGATATGAGTATAAATTATTATCGAGATTATACTGAGAAACCATGGTTTCGAACTCTAAAGGTAAGTAAGTATCTATGTAACTGTAACTGTGATGTTACTCGTGAAACTTCCCATTTTGTGCTCGTCAACTGAGTCTGTATGCTGGTATGCCTAGTGGGACTCGAACCCAGCCAATGCCGTTTGCTTCAAATGTAAAAGCATTATCCACCAGGCTATTGAGATACGAGAAATACCACTCAGGCAATAGGTGTCAGTTGTTATTAATTTTTTCATGATTGTGAATTTCCCGTCTCTTGATTACATTGAACCGAAACATTTGGTATCAGGTTTGTGTGTCTCTATGGGAACACCATCACTTACTGAGGAATTGGGTGCATCTAACTGACGAACCCCAAACAGGACGAAACACGAGTGTTGGACATCACTGCTAGCCACCATCAGCTAAGTAACATCAAATTCATCTAAATGCATTATAGAAGTGGTACTAGAAACCAACACGTTAACAGAAACTCAAGGTTTCCATCCAGTATAGTCCACATGAAATCATTCACTTAGAATCATTCTTGTTCTGTGGTCTTATTGTTATTATTCGCTCTTCACGTTTCCACTGAAACACAAGGCTTCAAGAGAATATTTGTGTCTCACTCTGTTCTCCTTTGTGATCTTCAGTTGCCTTGTCGATTCCCGCAAGCTTTCATTTTTTATTCTGGCATCCTCTGATGCTCACCTCTTCTCTTCTCATTGGGTTAATACTCGTGGGCATGTCTGAAGTGTGATGTCACTTGAATGTCTCCTGAGCTTATGTCAACTCCATCTCCTTCTGCACATTTGCTTGTCAATAAGTTGATGGTTGATTCGCCGCCTGCCAGAGTTCTTTCTTGTCTATTCTTTCAAACTGGTCAGACATCTGATCTTCAGTAGTGAGCGAAGGCACGTCAGCTATTAATGAAGGTCTGCAGTAGCCTGATGAGAATGCATAAAGAAGCGGTGAATTGGTACTACTGTTAAAAATTTGGATCTTTTTGTTGTTGTTTTAAGTGCTGTGCATCTCCATATCAATTTCAGAGTATTAAGTGCCCATCTTGCCTTCTAGATCTTGACTTTGACGTTCTTATTCATACTGTCTTTTCAGGTGTAATATTATTTTACTTTTCGTTGCTTCTTCGGTGTGTTATTTTGAGATGTAATAACTTGTAGTGATGTATTCATTTTCACCCTTGAACTATAGCATTTCATCATGAGCTGACATCGGTTAGTGAAACATTGAAAACTACATGGAAGTAATGGACAGCTAACTGATTCGTTCTATTTTGAATTTTTTCAGAAGTAGTCAACCACCGCCATGGTTCGAACCTGGCATCTTCCGGTTACAGAGCAAGCTAACTTGTAGACCATTAAGCCAAATGGGACCCAACCAATCCAATAACCAACCCATGAATTCCATCTTCTGCCAATTCATAACATAGCGTGACTGGCACTAGCTAATGTCTTCGGAGAGTACATCAATGAATATCAATGAGATGCTCACTAGTGACTAGCCCTATTCAGGTGGGTAGTTACCCAGATTCAAGTGGGATGTCATGACCAGTGGCGTACAGCACGTCGGGCGTAAGAACAAATACTCGTCACGGACCATATTCGCTAGCGCCAGTCGCTGTATATCGTGAATTGCCTGGCAGAAGTTGGAATTCGTGGGCTGGCCATTCAATCTGGTCCTAGTGGCTTAATAGTCTACGAGCTAGCTCGCCTTGTAACCAGAAGGTGTCGGTGGTTGAGTACTTCTCAAGATTTTCAAAATAGAATGAACCAGCTAGCTGTTCATTACTCCCAGATGGTTTTCCAATGTTTCTCTAACCGATGTAAGCTAATGATAACATCTTGTAACCAATCAATCCAATCCCTAAAAATCGATACTTGAGTATAGAATTTTAAGATGAAGATCTCACAGATTTCGTTCGATTTCAAACATTTTATGAACTACTTACTTACTTACTTGGTACTATTTAGGAATTTTATTTCTGATCTGAAATCTTCAATAATTAGTTTAAAGGGATTGTATTTATTTCAAGTTTGATCCCGTATAGATATCAGTTAGAGAACCATTGAAACACAACCAGGCAGTACTGAATAGCTGTTTCGTCCTAGTTTCGGTCTCATTGGCCCTACTCATGCACTTCCAGTTTTCCAACACAGTGCCTTCAGATTACAAGGAAAGCTCTTAGACCATTCAGCCACTAGGACCCGACTCAACAACCAACCCATGAATTGCAATTAATAGTGTTCTCTGAGCTGGTTGGTTTAGTTGCGGAGCTTTCGTCGTCCCACTTCTGGACAACATCCCCCTTCAGCGCAACATTTAGCATAAAGTGAAATGATTTAAGTTTCTTCATGAGTGATATAATTGCGTCTCCCGGTAACCATCTTTACATATGTACTGATCATTTTTTATTAACTTGGATTTAAAACTTTCTCGTCACCTGATTTACTTTTTATTAGTTGGTGTATTTGGTCTATATTAACGTGTTTGTTAATTGCATGTTCGTTTGAGTATCAGGCTTCTAGGAATTCCCTGACTGCACTTTTGGTGTTTCCTCTGTCTAAGATTTCGACATTATCCCAAACAAACTGATGTCCATAATTGTCTATATGCGTTGATAATAAAGAATATATATCATGTATTTTCACGGTTGATTAATGGCCCATGAATTCTCTTTTTTTCTTTCCTTCACGTTCCTAGTGGAACATAGGGCCTCAAGCTAGTGGCTTGAAGTTTCTGTAGTAGTGGTGTTTATTTTTACAGGATGGGGTCGCTAGCTGCCTCATGCCCAATCTTTCCTCTTTATCAGCTTTTATTTTTGGCTTGGCGAAATAAAGCATGACTGCGTTGGTGGCCGGGGATTAAACCTCGAACCATGTGCATGGTCGGCGAGCGTCCTAACCGCTGCGCCACCGACGGTTATGAATTCTAACTCCTACCAATTCGTGATTTTTGAGAGCCTGGCATCAGAAAATATCATGGTTTTCAAGTATTGGTTTTGTAGGGATTTTGTTTGATTGCATGGAGGATTTAATCATGAGCTGACATCAGTTAGAGAACCACTGGGAAGCCTGGGAGTACTGGAAAGCTGTTTCGTCCTAGTTTGGGACTCTTCGGCAGTACGCACCCACCGGGATTCGATCCCAGGATCTTCTGGTTACAAGGCAAGCTCGTAGACCGTTGAGCCACTGGGACACGATCCAATGGTCCTTGAATTCTAACTTCTGCCAGTTCACGACATAGCGCGACCACTTCGCAATGTCGTGAACTGGCAGAAGTTAGAATTCAAGGACCATTGGATCGTGTCCCAGTGGCTCAACGGTCTACGAGCTTGCCTTGTAACCAGAAGATCCTGGGATCGAATCCCGGTGGGTGCGTACTGCCGAAGAGTCCCAAACTAGGACGAAACAGCTTTCCAGTACTCCCAGGCTTCCCAGTGGTTCTCTAACTGATGTCAGCTCATGATTAAATCCTCCATGCAATATCATGGTTGGCAAGTATTTGTCCTCACTTCCAACCGAGTGATATCCACTGGTCCCAACTAGATAACTGGAAGACTGTTTCTTCCTATTTTGAGATTCATCAATAGTACGTGCCCACTGGGGTTTGTAATATCCTTCATCTCTATCTGTTTTGAAAAAATAACTGTTTAAGCATCCATTTATAAGTAAAACTACGCACCGACTAATAAAATAATTATACTACTGAATTTTATATAAGTAGCTATAAACCTATGGACAAACAAATTCAGCGTGAATACTTTCAATTCTATCTGATGCTACCACCAAATTGTTAATTAATTATTTTTTATGGTAGGGAAACACTTTAGGTTATTTATGTCTCTCAGTTAAGTATAATATTCTACCACTTAGCTGGATTTGCATAGTTTTTTGCTTGTGTCATTAGCCTCATATATTGGGTTGTAATGTCAATAATGTCGTTAAGATTCCTAATTCAACATGTATTTTTGCCAAAAAAAAAATCGTGTGTCTTCTGGTATCGTCTTGGTGAAAAAGAGACTGAACATTAAACGCTACGACATCAGATAAACAGCTTTGCGTATTATTTTCAGTATGAATGGTTAACTGCATATATATATATATGTATATATATAAGTAGGAGCCAAAACCATTAATGCATCATCTTGTGAGGTGGTGTGATATAGGTGAAATGCGTGTTTATTACTTGTGTAATTATAACAACTTGTGTGGCTTATTATCACAACTGATATTTGTGTTATTACTATTACCATTATTATTATTATCATCATTTTTGTTTTGAAAAGCCTTAGCAGAGGTATGGGCACAAAGCAAACAATAATACCTTCAGTGATGGTCAGCATTTCACGAGAACTAGTCAGCTGTTCAAACTAACCGCTGTTAAACGTGATCTATATGTACATAAAAAACTGCAGATTTTGTTTTCCAGAATTCTTTTAGGATTAATTTTCTTCACCAGTATTATATTTTCCATCCGATGATCGTAGTATTAGTAGGAGTAGTAGTAGGTTTACCGGTGGCAACTGGTGCACATTGGTGGCAAGCTACGCATGTGGGTGGTCTGGGGATCGGTCCCCAGCAGATAGATGCACTCCTTTCTTGACCTAAAGGCGGCTTTCGATTCTGTCGACCGGGAGGTTCTCTGGAGATGCTTGGCTGTAAAGGGAATGCCGAGAAAATACATTGCACTGATTAAGGCACTCTACTCGTACTCATACAGCCATCCAGGTGAGGGCTTACGGCGAGCCGTCATTTGAACTGGTGACGACCAGTGGTGCCCGTCAAGAATGCCCATTATCCCTTTTTCTATGCAACTTCATCATAGATGTGTTAATGGACTTAACCCTAAGTGGCTTCAGCGACTCAGGGATTGACTTGCTACCAGGGAATAATCTCGTTGACTTGGAATATGCAGACGATATAGTCCTTCTGGGCGAAGACGCCGACAAAATGCAGAGTCTTCTGAACACCTTGAGCTGTAATCTACGAATGTTTGGCATGCGATTCGCTCCCGCCAAATGCAA